GGTGTGCTGAACCAGGGAGAGAACTAAAACATGCAGGATGCTGGCTCTCGAGGACTGACTTTGGACACCCCTGCCATAGTGTCAAGGATAGACTTGGCTTTGGATGAACTGATAATTTTGTGCAGAATGAGCGGTGCGTGGACTTAATAAGTAGAGGTAAAAGTAGAGGTAAAAATTTTTTTGTTTAGTTTATTAATTAAATGTGCGTTTTGTGAGCTAAAGTTTGTATGTGTAAAGAATACAGAAAAGAAACATAACTCGCAAACTGCTGTGTTAGACTAGCTAATAGCAGTGGTAGCTACATTCTACCACAGCAGTTACTTACTAATAATCGCAAAATAAACATTAAGCCATACTACGGCAACAGACTGAATATTCTGTTCTTTGTGTGGGGAATATTTGAGTGTTTTTTGGTGTTGTTATGCTATGGCAAAGAGTCTGCGTGTAGCTTGGCCGATACAGAGAGCGAGAAAGAAGTGGTTTGAGTTATACTTAGGTTTTTCCCTTTGTTGTGGAGCACAGCACGAAATTAATCATACCTACATTTCCAAGTTTAATTGAGTTAACGGAATTATTCTATCGTGGCAGCAGCTATGATGGTATGTAAAAGAATAGTCTCTTTGCCCTCCAGCGTTGTGCACAAAATTTCCGTATGTAAACAATAACAAGCAGGGGGTCTATATTTATAAATCTAATTATGATTAAGTCAGTGCCTCACCAGCTATGAACCTCACCCCACGTCACTGCACATAGTGAACACAAACATTTCAATTTCATTGACAAAAAAATACCAACTTATCTTATCTGGATGGAATATAAAACCAAGAACAGAACCCGTAGTATAGTTTGAGATGTAAAAATGGAAAAGAAATTTCTTAATATAATGGCACCGTCTTTGTACCAAATAAAGAATTCTGGTCTGGCTGATCTTTGAAAATAAAGGCTAATTTTAGTATTTAACTTAACAATGGCTGCGTGAATTGCATATTAAAAAGATCAGCCAGTCCAAAATTATTTATTCGGGATAAACTCATGGTCGCAATTCATGTTTCACGACCAAAGGTAAGGGTTGGAATGAAGAGCAGTGATTTGGCCCAGCTTTTTTTCACCCCATAAAAACACCACAGTTCCAACATTACCACATGTTAGACTTTCTAGAAATCTCCCCAGCCATCCTGACATCACTCATGAACAAGATCCTTAAAAATGTTTCAATTGGGGCACAGACTGACCTCATCAGGGATGAAGCAGTCCACCTTCTACTGGATGAAAATCATGATCTCAAACTTGAGTAGTGAATTATTCGTATTTCAGCTCTAAAGATAAAAGTGGGACTCACTGCAATAGCATACATGGTGATGTTTTCTTTCTTGCTTTGATTGACAACTTCCATCATCTGAGGACTGTCATGTGATTCACCATCTGTGATAACAATCATCACCTTCTGTGCTCCCGGCCTGCCACCACGCTGGAATGCCTCCAACCTGCGGTGAAGTGGAGAAATCTTTCATAGCTATAGTATATCCTAATATTGAATTATTGATTGATTGATTGATTCATTCATTCATTCATTCATTCATCTTCTAGTTCCAACTAGTTTCCTTATGTGATCTTCAGCTTAAGAAATATTGTAAACAAGAGATATTTGTCAAACGTTGCACTTTGAAAAATATCTAATATTTGCTATATTTTGATTGACCAATTAAATTCAATTAAAATGCTACATAATGTCAGAATGTGCTGACATGCGACTAGGTAGGATGATATGTGACTTAACTGTTCAGACATAAGTTCCTTTGAAAAACATCAGGTGCTTATCCAATTTCAATTTAATTCAGTTCAGTTTATTTGTAAAACAAATATTGTCTTGAGGCACTTAACGAAAAATAATTGCAGTTCAATCATACATACATTACAGTTAATAAACAGTGGAGTAAGCCCCCTTAATGAAGTTAGTTCAAATAGTTTATATGTAAGGAAACCCAGCAGATGGCATTAAGTCCTGGACTTAGTGACAGTAGAAATTGCTTGCTCTCATTGACTTTACAGCAATCCCTCATACTGAGCACGCATGTAGCAACAGTGGAAAGGAAAAATTCTCCTTTTACAGGAAGGAACCTCCAATAGAACCAGAACCTGGTTTAGTATAAGAGACCATCTACCACAACCAATTGGGGCTTTGAGAAGACAGAGTAAGATAGAGAAAGTAACAATTTAACAGCAGGAGAGGGATACCACTTAAAGGAATGAAATTCAGTCATATTCCATCAAAGAACAGTAGATACATTAGTTTATAAGTTTTAAAATAACTCTTAAAATTCAGAAATGACATTGACAGGTAGTGATACATATTAATTTGATCAGCATTCTGTGATACCGTGCCACACTGATCCCCAGTGCTGTCCTGGTCTCCTCTCCACCTCGTTGGTCAATGTTCTTGGCAGCATCCAGTACATCCTCCGTTGTTTGGTATTCACCCAAACTGAACTCATGGACGACTGTGGAGCCATACTGAATAACTCCCACCTACAATCAAATCACACTTAACTGAACTGTCATTTATAACTACTCATAGTAGTATACCCAAAACCAACGGACAGCATGTTTTCCTGTTATGAATTTATCTGCTCTTAAGAACTTTTTAAACAACAAAAGTATTAATTTATACAACTAAAGCCTGAACACATGATTAAGATATATTTCAATATATGGTGTGGTGAAGTTATTATTATTATCTTTTTTTTTTTTTTTTTTGAAGTAGAACCTAATGTGTTTTGTCTCCGTTTCATGTCTGAGTGTGCAACAGACAAACCTGTGTCTGACCTGGGCCAATGTAGAACTTCTGCAAGATGTTCATGATAAAGTTCTGCACCTCATACCAAGGGTAAATGGAGTTGGACCCATCCAGAACAATGACAATGTCCATAAATGTTTCACACCCTAAATGATTGAAATGGACAGACAGCAAATTTCAAATTATATGTATGTAAGTGTGTGTTTGTGTGGGTGGGTGCATGTGTGTGTGTGTGTGTGTATGGATGCATTACTCTGTAGAGCCGGTGCAATAGTCTGGGTGAGTTTGAAGTTCCGGTTGGCTTTGGTGCAGATTCCAGTGCTGTACAGAGAACTTCCACATTCATGGGACCACAGAGGACCACAAGTCTAGGGACACATTTATGTGCATTAAATATATATATAATTCAAAATCATATAAAATGCAAAAAAAAAAAGTGCAAAATACATGGATGAAGATTACATTTATTTGAAGTTAATTAGCTTAAAAGAAATTCTAAATTTCTGACTATGATGGACATGTCTATATCGGTCCACAATATAACATCAAAATAAATTTGTGGTTGTGACAAAATGACAAGAAGTTCAACAACTATGAAAACATACAATGTCTTCAAAAGACATATGTTTACAAAACACACCCTCTTTTTCCTAATATCAGCTGCAAAGAAATAATGTAAAAATGTAATCATTTTTTTATTTCTGCGGCAAAAACATTTGTATAATTTAGCATGATGAACACTGATAGGAACTAAACCTATCAGTGTGTTACTCCATGGTGTAGTCATGACAGCATGGAGTAACGAAATTGGACAAGCATTATGTTAGCAAATATTGATTACTACCATAGGTCTCAGAGATTTTTCTATTATGTTGGTAGCAAAACTTTTGTTCTTACTACCTTTATTGTGTATGTTTTGAAACATGTTCGGTGTAAAAAAAGTTGTTCAAAAATATATTATTTAAATTAAATCAGTATGAACTCTCACCAAGCACTCTAGAAGTACATTGATAAAGTAGCTAACTTATTTAAGCAGCAAATCAGCCAATCACATTGGCAGCAACGCTTTAAAGTTAATGTGTGGTGAATAGGCCTGTCGCCATAAACGATAAATCAATTAATCGCATGATAAATTAAACATATCGACCTCATTTTAATTATCGGCTTTATTGTCTCTTCCTGGCTTATTTCTTTCTGTTGATGACACTGAATGAAAAAAGACTCAACCCCGGTGCTCTTCACTGACCCTCCCTTCCTATTTCCTTAGTGTAATGTCCAGCGCACATTACACAAGTTGTCGGCCGACTGTCAGCCCATTTTCAAAACCTGAGAGACACATTAGCCGACAAAAATCCTAGGCATAACGGTTCAGTCGGGTTCGATCGTGCCGTGTGGTGTCCAGCCACATGGGCACAAAATAATGGCTACAAGTCTAATTTTAAAATCAGGCATTAATCAATGCTTTACTAGAATCTACCTGTGATGCATGTGGCTAGAGTGGGCGTAAAGTCCTGACTGAATGAAAATCATTATAACCTATTTATGTCACGTTAACGAAGAACAGCTGAAAAATTACCAGGTTTATCAACTGCGGTAGCAATTTGGCTCCAACTCCTCTCCTTGTCATTTCTATATTATTTGCACGAAACGTTGAACATTAATGTTGTTTCCACATATCATCTCCGATGTCCGCTGGACTTTGGGTTGCGCCGTGTCAGCTGTTTGGGATTCCCCTCCGTAATTTCCCCTCAGAAAGCAGGAGGAGAGTCTGCGCTTTCTGATTGGCTACCTGTCACATTCAACAGGCTGCATTAAGCTCCCAGTTGGGAAAACCCCTGATTTAGTTCAGAGCGGCCACAACAATCTACTGTAAC